TGTGAATCAGGTATTGGGCTGTTAGCTGCAATCTTGGCAGTTCAAACTCACTAGTTGCTCATCAAAAGAAATATTATGCTGTCTGTCTGTTCCTGTAAAGATGTACAGTCTTGGGAATCATGTATAGGGTTGCTATAAATTGGAATTGACTTAATGGCAGTGAGTTATTCAGTTTAAGATGGTCTCAAGCTTATCATTGCCCTTGTATTGTCCATGACAAAGTTTTAAAACCTCACTGGCTTTGAGTTAATTCTGACTCGTAGTGGGCCTATAAGACAGGATATAAATGCTCTTGTGCATTTATGAGACTGTAACTTATATAGGAGTAGAAAGCCTAGGCTTTCTCCTTCACAGCAGCTGGTGATTTCTAACTGCTGACCTGGTGGTTGGCAACCCATCGTGTAACCACTACGCCACCAGCACTCTTTTGAAGAAAATTTGTTGTTGTTGTTGTTGTTGTTGTTAGGCGCCATTTAGTTGGTTTCCATCATAGCAACCCAGTATATGGCAGAAGGAAGCACTGCACCATTCTCACAATGTGCTTACATATAGGCCTAACGTTGTAGTCACTCAGTTCATCTTGTTGAGGCCCTTCCTCTTTTTCACTGCCTTCCACGTTATCAGATATAATGTCCTTCTCCAGGGAAGATATAGAACCTGGAAATCATACTGACAGTAGAAGTAGATCATTCCCAGGCCCATGCCAGAACCAAAGACCAAATTAGAAGACTTGTCAAGACTTGGTTCTGCCCTTATATAATAGTATTAATAATCAATTAATTTATATGTCGCACAGAAAGAAATCACAACCATAACCATAACCCTCTCCTCATTTCTTGACATAGTGAGAGGGAATTTAGCACAAGAGACTCTCAGGCATAGTGCAGAGTTGAGTTGAAAGACGTTATTAAGATCTTATTGGTACCAGACACATGAGATTGGTGTCTGCATGCCCACAGTCAGGGTGGTTTGGGCTGTATAGGGGATTTTGCAGAAGGCAGTGCTGGAAAGGCTCTGGGATGTCATGAGAACAGAAAATGCTTTGCTTCTAGTGGGATCTTCTGGGTGGTGGACAGACAATTTGGCTATTTTGGGTAGTTGAGGGGTGGGTTGGTTTGTTCAAGATTCAAGAGCAAAGTGGAGTTTTATCTCTCCTTTTTGCATTTGAATAATCT